TGAGAACATAACCGCCTCCGTGTATACTGCTTGGCAGATAAACGGGACGATGAACAGAAACTTGCGGCTGATAAAAAGCTTCACCATTGCCTTGAGCTCATAGCCCACACTATTGGTGACCTGAAGCTTGACAGGAATGCCGTCCTTTCTTTGAACTTGCGACGGTTTGTTTAATAAGAATCCAGCAAATGGACCCAGGGCCTGCAAGACAATGAAAATGATATACACAGTGTAAGAGACACTGCCTGTCGTCGCACGCTTGGCGTTGATACCCAAGCTGATAGCACCGCCAAGGATTTGTCCCCCGACGCGAAAACTGAGCCAGAATCCCAAAAAGCGACCTTGGTTATAGGGCTCTGGGTAGGAGAGAGCAATTGCTGCCTCTGCCATCCAGAATACTCCTGCAGAAATACCACATAATGCTGCCCCAAGGATGACAAGCCACTCCTGGCCGAATCGGTTGTTCACGTACAGCCCAGCTGCATAAGGTGCATATCCCATTGTACCGACAATTAAAGTCCACTTTATACCGATAAAACGAACAACAACACTGGAGAGAAAGCAGGAGACCACCATAAGTCCGAATGTTAATGCATTTGCTGCATTGACCAGATATGGCTCCTCTTCACCTCCGCCGCCCAAAGAGTTCATAGCACCCCAGATACCTGGAGCGAGAAAATTACAAACTCCGAGAATGAGGGCATTGTAAAATGTAGATCGGTACCATTTCACTGTTCGAAAGTTAGAAAAATCGTTCCCTGGTGAAAACTTTCCTTTGCATACCCTTTTCGTTCGTGACGGTCGGAGGATTAGAAGAGTCATGGCTGAGCTCCGCATCTGTTGGCGAAGCGCTCTTCTCAAAATCTGACATTGTGGATGAAATGTACTGCTCAAAAGTCGCGACAGCTGTCAAACTATTTTAAAAAAGGGCTCTTACGACATTATATAGCGATTTTCATATGATAAGTGGCTGGTTTATTTGCCTAACGGAGCTCTATTTCCTGAAACATGACATTTCGTGCTATGGCAACATCGGGACCTTGCCATTCTTGTGACTAGCTTAAATATTTCAAGCGCCTATCTTCATGAGAAGCTGTCTCAGGGCCTGGGGAATGTTGTGGTTTGGGGTACCGATTACGTGCTCGCCCGAACGCACGTCACGTTTAAGAACGGCTACGGCGATTCAGCCCAGATTCGTGGGGAGGCTAATTTCTTTTTTGGGATTTCTTTGAGAGACTCTTCGATCTCTGTGGCTTGAGATTCCCGGCCGAGAAATCTTGAAGTACATCTCATTTGATGTTTCTGCATAGTGGTAGGTTGATCAGGGGCTCATCGGAATGATGTCGGCCATGCCGCATTATTTAACAAAGCTTGCGATACTTTGACGGCGTCTGCTGATATTTCCCCCAAGACTTCCTGTATCAGTGAATGCTTCATGGTTCAATATTATATTTACTTATGGTATATAATGAGCGTAGAGGCTGCGGTTTGGTCCAACAAGGAGGTGAAATAGGTATCCGGTCATCACCTTAACTTGGAAATGTTTCCCTGCTTTGACTGCCACAACCGCACAGCAGATATAACGTTGTTGAGCTTACACGGCAAAGAAGATTTGATAGAAATATCTTTAATAGTAATCAAATTCGAGATATGTACTCCATACATACTTCCCAGCTCCCAGGTGTGGCGGAGGGGTTCAAACCTTTGTAGGGTTTCGTCATCACCGCCCAGGATCACATCAGATCGAAGCAACAAGGCACCTTCACGGCCCAAGAAGTTCTAAGATACCTAGGTTGTGTACCAAATTTGAAAGATGGTAGAAAAGAAATATCCTTTCTCTTTTTTAAATATGCCACATTGTAATCATACCCTTAGAATAAAATAGCCCTCTTCGAATATCCTTTGTCTATTGCCTCGGTTATCCTATATCCCAGCTCGACAACAATGGGTACTTCACAAAAGCAACCCCTATTAGATCTGATCTACGATTCCCCTCCCCCAGGCTGCCAACGAGAGGTCATCATCACGCCATTTTAGCCCCGCCATGAGCAATGGACAGCCTGGGGAGACTGCCACCGGATAGGTTGTAAGTCCCAGATGTAAGACGTGATACTCCAGCCCGGACCATTTCTGAGGCCTTCCCAGGACCCAGGGCCCAGCGGAGGCTTTTGATCATTATACGTGCTCCGAGCTAGTATTGATATCAATGCCCCGCCGCTGACCAATTTATTGAGCGTGCTCATTCTCTCGGCATTTCTCGCCCGAGAAGTAATACATACATGTAGTCACGGACAAATTATAGATTTTCTCATATCTGGAACTACCATTCTTTTTCATTTCATTTAGTTGATGATCTTGAGTATGGCACTGCTGGCCCCGAATATCATGTCAACCACCACTACTTTCCTTCAGCTCGGAGAGCTCGAACAAAAAACTAAATCCTTCCATCGTTGTACATCTTCCAGTAATGCCGGTGCATTTCAGCGATCGACACACGAGGAGAAGACTCCGGTTCCAAAGCCTCTAGAGATGACACAACAAGTGCTCCTTCTCAAGGGTGTCAAAGAACAATACACATTGGTGAACGATCACAATATTCCTTCCATCTTACACCCCGGGGAGATATTGGTCAAGGTAAGCCATCTCCAGCTATCGCCAGCCTGGTCTGAGCCTGCATGAATTGGGTAGTCTAACTTTTTGTTGGCAGGTTCTTGCCATCGGCCTCAACCCGATCGACTGGAAAGCACCGTACGTTCAGATCACTGTTCGCGTCATACAATTTACTAATTTTATCTTGTCTCAGTGCATTCAACTTTGGAATTCCTAGTTTACCGTGGATTAATGGACGCGATTTGGCTGGGCTTGTTCTTCAAGTACCCGAAAAATCACGACTGCGTGTAGGCGACGTTGTTCTGGTACCCTCAACAGACTACCGTGATATCAGGAAAGCAGCGTTCCAAGAATACGCCATTGCAACAGACTTCAACGCCGCGCGCATTCCATCCTCGACCTCGATCAGTGCGTCCGCCTCTGTTGGTGTTGCTTTTGTTGCATCTGCTCTCGCCTTGGGTGTTTCGCTTGGACTAGACTTCTCGCTCTTCACAAAATCGCCTGGGCCGAATCTGGTGAGTGTTGTCGACCAGCTTGATAGAAACAGCATTTCTGCCGACATTTTGAATGAGTGTTTTGCTTCATCGGATCGGCCTCAACGGGGTGATTGGGTTGCCATTTGGGGAGGTGAGCTCATCCCCTCTGCTGCATCTTGATTTCCAATGCTAATTATTGCCCAGCCTCGACAACTACTGGTTTAATCACACTTCAATTAGCAAAGCTTGCTGGTCTTCGCGTTATCTGCGTCGCCGATGTGGCCCGGCATGGAACTAAGCTTCTGAAGCTCGGCGCAGATCTACTAGTAGATCGACAAGACACCGAGCGCGCAGTCGAGATTATTCGAGGTGTTACAAGTGGAAAATTACGATATGCAATTGACATCGTTGGAAAAGAGACGGCAACTCTCCTTGAAAAAACGTTAGAGAGATCAGGCCAATCCCATCTGCTGGGGTTGACAGGTCTACCCAAAGAGCGAGATCCCGGGATCCGATATCATACAGTGCCGATTAAACTTTTCCATGAGGCTCCCGCTGTCGGTGAGAGTTTGGTGTGTTGGTTGGAGAGTTTGTTGCAGGATGGTACATTGAGTTTACCGGATATTGTTCGTGCTGAAGGGGGTCTGGACGGCATTAATGCGGCGCTGGAGACGCTGCGGGATGGATTGGTTTCAGGTAAAAGGATCGTGGTAGATCTCGGTGCTCATTCATGATCTATGGACCGCTGTTTGGGCATAATGTCTTGAAATGAATTGGATTGGGGTCTGGCGTTTCGGTTATAATTTTAGACCTTCAAATGATCATATTATATAGATGCATTTAAAACCATGAAATGTTATATGACGAAAATCCGGAATTGAAGCTCGCAGCTGGATAACAACAATTAATTCACTAGTAGTACTAGTAGTTAGATTCCACTTTTTCTAGTAATCTTTCGAGGTTCCAAGGAGTTCAGGGCGGTGGTGTTAATTAGAAATTTCAGGTTCAACTTCCAACGCTTGGGGTTGCTGATAACTTCAGGTTCGGCTTGAAAACATGAGAAAACCCTTCGAATACCTATAGTATCCATTTTGGATGGACCGTGACGGCTTGAGTTCCAAGACTGCCCAGGTGGGTAGTATTGAACCTTCAACTTCAAATTAGTAGTACTACTAGTAGCTATACGACCAGCGCAAGTGAATATATATTCTAAGGTTTCCAGCTAACTCCGAGTCAATAGCTCTGGGGTACTACTAGTACTAGTAGTAAATCAATTTAGACCTACCCTAACTCATACAAGTAGTGCTACTACCTAGGTAGTAGTAAATAATCAAGGTATCCCGCACTGCAACCCCCCTCTTCCCCGTATGTACTTCTACTACCTTAGCTGCCCTCGGCACGATCGGAGACGGCATCCGTGGCCAATAAGAGGCCCACTATTAGTTGAGTCACCCCCGATTCGGCGGTCTACGTCATTCATTATCAGTCGGTGTACACACTCTCCCCAATTGAAGCCCCAGCGTAGAAGGATGACGATAGAGTACATAGAGTGCACAACAAAAACAATAAAATATGAAAAAAGCGAAAAGTCTTTGAATATAAATATATGATTCCCACCACTACTGTGTAACCCACAATGATCGTGTTGTTACTCCCACCCCGATCCACCGCCCACAAGCGCCACTAGCCGCCGTCACATTTTTGACCAGGCCGACATCGGCCCCCACCCTGGTCACCACTCCAGCCAATCAACTCGCCAGTATTGGCCGCTGACCGACCGAAATCGGCGTTGCCCCTCGACTTGCAGAGCAGCGACATCGCGGGCGCGGCAAAATATAAGTCTGCTCTCTGCTGTTCCCCAGTTCGGTGACTTTTCAAAAGAGCTTCACATACTGTTTATATCATCTGCACACCATGCCTTCCGCAGATTCAAAGCCGAGGACCCTGTACGACAAGGTCTTCGACCACCACATCGTCAATGAGCAAGAGGACGGTACCTGCTTGCTGTACATCGGTATGCCGAATTACCCCAGCCCGAGCTTGTACTGGGGTTGAGCAATTGTCGCTGACACTAGAATAGACCGCCACCTTGTCCACGAGGTGACTTCTCCTCAAGCCTTTGAGGGCTTGAAGAATGCCAGCCGTAAGGTCCGCCGGCCGGACTGCACCCTGGTGACCGTCGACCACGTATGTTTGAAGGGATTGACTTTGTGTGCTCGCCCTGAGCTTCGTGACCAATTGCTAATTTCGGTTCTTTCATCTCATAGAACATCCCTACCAGCTCTCGGAAAAACTTCAAGAACGCTGAGGAGTTCATCAAGGAGAACGACTCCCGCCTGCAATGTACCACTCTCGAGGAGAACGTGAAGGACTTTGGTCTGACTTACTTCGGCATGGGCGACAAGCGCCAGGGTATTGTTCACATTATCGGCCCCGAGCAGGGGTTCACTCTGCCCGGTACTACCGTTGTCTGCGGTGACAGCCACACATCCACCCACGGTGCCTTCGGTTCCCTCGCTTTCGGTATCGGAACTAGTGAAGTCGAGCACGTCCTCGCTACCCAGACCCTCCTCACCCGCCGAAGCAAGAACATGCGAATCCAGGTTGATGGTGAGCTCCCCGCCGGTGTCACCAGCAAGGATGTCGTTCTTCACATTATTGGTGTCATTGGTACCGCCGGTGGTACTGGTGCCGTTATTGAGTTCTGTGGTTCCGTCATTCGTGGCCTTAGCATGGAGGCTCGTATGTCTATGTGCAACATGTCTATCGAAGGTGGTGCACGTGCAGGCATGATCGCGCCCGACGAGATCACTTTTGAGTACCTGAAGGGACGTCCCCTTGCCCCCAAGTACGGCAGCGCCGAGTGGAACAAGGCCACCAACTTTTGGTCCACCCTCAAGTCCGACCCAGATGCTCACTTCGATGAGAACATCTTCTTGGATGGCAAGGACATCATTCCCACAATCTCTTGGGGTACCTCCCCTCAGGATGTCATTCCTATCAACGGTGTTGTTCCCAGCCCCGATGATTTCCAGGATGAGGCTCGCAAGCTTGCCTGCAAGCGTGCTCTGGAGTACATGGGTCTCGTCTCTGGTACTCCCATGAAGGAGATTCCAGTTGACAAGGTCTTCATTGGATCATGCACAAATGCTCGTATTGAGGACCTGCGGGCTGCCGCCAAGGTTGTCAAGGGCCGCAAGGTCGCCGATAACATCCTGCGTGCGATGATTGTTCCCGGCTCTGGTCTGGTTAAGGAGCAGGCCGAGGCTGAGGGCCTGGATAAGATCTTCACTGACTCTGGCTTCGAGTGGCGCGAGGCTGGCTGCTCTATGTGCCTTGGTATGAACCCAGATATCCTGTCTCCCAAGGAACGTTGCGCCAGTACCTCCAACCGTAACTTCGAGGGTCGCCAGGGTGCTCAGGGCCGTACCCATCTGATGTCCCCTGCCATGGCTGCTACTGCGGCCATTGTTGGCAAGCTCGCTGACGTTCGGGAGCACTTCGTCCCCAGCCCTACCCTTGCCAAGGTTGCCCCTCAAGTTGATATCCAGCCTGAGGGTGACTCCCCCCGAGACTGAGGATGAACTTGATCGCGTCTTGGATGTTCCTGCCGACAATGAGCCTCACACCAACTCCTCCGCTGGTGGCGGCGGCAAGAGCACCGGTCTTCCCAAGTTCAACGTTCTGAAGGGCATTGCTGCTCCTCTGGACCGTTCCAACGTCGATACCGACGCCATTATCCCCAAGCAGTTCCTCAAGACTATCAAGCGTACCGGTCTGGGCACTGCTGCCTTCTACGAGCTCCGTTACCACCCGGATGGTACGGAGAACCCCGACTTCGTTCTCAACCAGGGTATCTACCGCAACGCCAAGATCCTTGTTGTCACTGGACCCAACTTCGGATGTGGTAGCTCCCGAGAGCACGCCCCCTGGGCTCTTCTCGACTTTGGTATCAAGTGTATCATTGCCCCATCATTCGCCGATATCTTCTTCAACAACACCTTCAAGAACGGCATGCTTCCCGTCGTTGTTGACGATGAAGTTGCCCTGAAGAAGATCGCCGACGAGGCTCACGCTGGTCGTGAAGTCGAGGTCGATCTCGACAACCAAGAGATCAAGGATGCGGAGGGCAACAAGATTGTTTCCTTCAACGTTGACTCCTTCCGCAAGCACTGCCTTGTCAACGGTCTGGATGACATTGGTCTGACTCTCGAGATGGAGTCTAAGATTCGCACATTCGAGGCCCAGCGTACCCTCGACACCCCCTGGCTCGACGGCAGTGGCTATCTCCGCCGTGGTACCCGCGGTGCCACTAGGATCGAGGCCGCTCCGGTCCCCAAGACCAACCGCGGTGATGTGAAGAACGAGCCTCTTGAGTGGTAAAGTTGGCATTGAGAATCTATATTATTGGGCGCTTTGGATGATCGCATTTGATACGGTAATGGGTACTACTATAGCCCGTGGGATTTCGGTTGATTTGACAAAAGAATATTCCCCTATTTCTATCTGCATGCTCTGGAATCTGCGGAGCTTGATTGTTTTTGGAATTTTGAATTACACTAGTAGTTGTCTCCGACTTTCAATGAGAATGACTTATGATTTAATTTTTCCTCCAGTAGAGAGCGTCGGTGCATAGCTCTGTTTTGTTTTATAAGAGATGTGATGCCCATAATGAAACACAATTAATCAAAACATTAGAGGGTAAGTAGGAATCAAAGACTAGTAACATGAAATGAGAGGAAAAAAAAGTTGAAAAAAGCCCAAGTACCTTCCCAGGTTCCGCTTAAGCGAAACCACACCTGATCGTTTATGGCTTCGACAGCTGTTCCCGACGGAAGAACAGCAGAAAACCGCCACTAAATTGCGTCAACTCTCAGCATAATCCATCACTTTCAGGTATAAGGATACTCACCAAATACTCAACTGGAATAGAAGCGCAATCCAAAACCAGGCATTCCCCAAAGCCCCCGCACCAGCAGTTATATCAGGCGAAATAGGACCCGGTCCGATTCTGTTTGGCGCAAACGCCCTGGCAGAGATAGTCGCGATAGACCCAAGAACTTGAGAAACAAGAAGCGTGAAACATATGTGCATGCGAGTAAGCGTCTGTAACAATATCATGCCAAATCCAAGGCCCTGAAGGGCGTCCATAACGCCTAGCCAGAGCCACAGGCTTCGAGATACCAGTGCTCCAGACGTATAACTACCAGCCCAAGGGAGGAATAGGCCTGATCCAGATGTGCCCCACCATATTTGAGCCCAACGAGGTGCACCGAGGCCGCAGGCTACGATCGGAAGAATCCAGCTGTGGGATTTGGATATCCAGCCTAGAAGGAATAGTATTGCTATCCAGGCAAATCCGAAGAATGCGACGCAGAGGCAGAGAATTTGCCATGGCTTGGCGTGGTTTGAGATCCAGAGGACTATTTTGCGATCAGAAATAGGCTGGATGGTCCCCGGTTAGGGGCTTGAGGGAAAATGACTTACAATTCCAGTTTCGGCCGTATGGGGCGCTGAGGAAGAAGTTCTGAAGGATGATGACAACCCAATTCCAAAGGACAATCTTGCGGCGGAAAACCGATTTATAGAATGATGGCACTTTGCCTGGTGTTTGGCGGTAATAATTCGGCAAGCCGAAATAGACAATCAAACCGATTGACCACAAGAAGATTGTGATTGGAGTACAGACGGCGCTATAAATGATGTGAGTAACATGGTCAACCCTACAAAGGGAAAGGAAAGGGACACTCACGTCATTCTCCAGGTATTTGTGATGTGTCCTTGAGAATTAATGTTTCCGGCATTGGATGCTTTTGTCAAAGTAGATCCCCAATACCAAAGCGCAATGACATACACCTGCTGCGTACCCTGAATCAAACACGCACGGAAGACCCATTGTTTAACAGGCGCGCCGCTCTCATCTCCAAAATTGAGAGAGAAGAAAATGGAGCCACTTGATGATGCTGCAGCGTAGATGCCACTACCGACATTCTGAATCCATCCGCGGAGATAAGAGTTGGGTTCGAAGTGAGCGAGGCCAATAATCAGAAAAGCGAGGCCGTATAAAAACCACGGTACAGTAAGAACGAGCACCGATTTGAAAAACCGGAAGAAAAACCACCACAGAATAGACGTAATCAAGTAAACAGTAGCAATACCATATAACTTCGCTGCTGTCTGACCGACTTCACCGGTGAGCAGGGTAATTTGATATGAATTGGCAGCAATAATCTGACCAAGTCCGAGGAAAAGAGAATAAACAGGCCAGTCTCCAATTCGCAACTGCATCCACTTCTTCAAACCTGTCGGCGGCACGTAGTCGTCACCTAGAAGGAATTCATCGGCCTTCCGTTCAGGTACACCACTCTCATGAGATGTTGTGTCATCGTTGGTGATAGAGCCAGGTGGAGAAGAACCGCCACTTTTGCCGAACTGCATGGACGGAGCAGGAGACTGGTTGCGTCCCAAACGAGCATCTCTGAACCGATCAAACCATTTCTTCTCGCTCTTTTCAAGATACTGCTCGATGCAAAGTTGTGAGTCGGAGTTTGCGCCATTAAGCTCTTCCAATTTCTTTTCAAACGCTCGATAGTACTCTCCATTGCTGTCTGTGAAGAAGGGGTCGACCTTTTGAAGCTTATAGTCTTTTTTATCACCGACGACAGAGTCGACAGACAACGCAGACGCACTGCTGAGACGGCTTCCGGGGCCTGCCCAAGGTCGCGAAGGTGGAAGTAATGTATCTTCTGTCCCTGTTAAGCTAGGTGCCGCAGAGCCCGAAGGCGTGCAACTCGATCGACCGGCCAAAGAGCCTTGACTTGATTGACGTGCGGAGAGGACATCTCGAGTAAGAGGAATGCCGGCACCGTCTAGCCTACGTCCTCCATCTGATGCTTCAGGAACTACTGTGTAGTCGTCATCTCCGTAGCATGTGGCCATCATTTCATCACCACTGTCATCTTCAACATCTGGAGGCGTGACACTGACAATCTCTTCGTCGACAACACTTCCTTTGCCATGGGATCTGCGCCCACGGCTTTCAGTCGGAGCAGAAACTGGCTGGGCAAGGGAGGAAATCTGTCGGCCAAGTGCAGATCTGGGCAATGCCTCAGATCCAGGGCTGGGATCCCTGCTATAGATCATTGAATTGCGCTGCATTGATCCAACTGTTCCTGGTCTGCTCGGTGATCGCAGTGGGGGCGTCACAGTACCACTCGACGCACCGGATCTCATCGACACTGTCGCTTGAGGAGTCATCATTCCGTAAATGGCATTATAAGACCCAGCAGCTGATTGTGTAGGTTGAGTCTTTGCACGCTCTTTGCCGTGAATTCTGATAGCAGTAGTCTGGAGGATTTCCAAGTCTTCGATCCACTGAGCAACCGGGAATCGCTGTTTGGCAGATCTTGCGCGCATCATGGCACGGGCTTCAAGTTTAGAGCCCAGAGCACTGTCTATGGCAAGTTTGAACTGTTTTAACAGATGTGACGTTGTCGTTGACTCGACCGTGTACCACCACCCAGGCATTTGGCCGAGTCCTCCCACTCGAGCACCGATGCCAAGAGCACCCTTGCGGCCAAACTCGACAGCCACAAGGCCGAAGGGTTCATCACGAGATGGTATCAAGGCAAATTCAGTGCCAGAAAATATAAAAGGAGGTAATACCGTAAACTGGGGTTTCGAAAACACTCGTCTCGGGTAGAGCTTCATCATACGGTCTAATTTCAATGCCGCAAACTTGCCGTATAGATCGATGATTGGGCCGACGCATATTAATTGAACATTTGGCCGCGATTCGAGCACGCCAGGCATAACATCGGCAATCAAGTCAATTCCTTTTTGCATAGACCATCTTCCAACGAAGACCAGAAGATCAGCATTGGGAATTTGGTCAAGACCAGCCCATTCCTGGGCCTGTCGCTTCAATTCCGCTCTGCGAATTTCAAATTCACTGTCAACACTGATATCGCGCTCTTTTGGAAGCTCTTTATTCCATTCTCCAGTGTCGGATGGATCTGGATTTGGCAAGTTTCCGACTTTCTTCAATCCCCAAAAGATAGGGAAACGGGCGTAAGACCGCTTGCCATATTTTTTAGATACCCCCACTGCACCAAATCCTTGCTGATGCAGGCGTAGATAGCTTGCACCGGCATGTAGTAGGTTGAAAATTTCGCCAAATTGCACATAACGAGTGACAGTGTCCATATCAAGGTTGAAGACTGAGCATACCTCGGTCTTTTCCTTCTGCGTCCTCATGGGCCACAGGCCTTGAAATTCAGCATTGTGGAGCGAAAGACAAATAGGAATTGTATCTGGTAGCTGGTACAATGGGGCAATTGAGCCATGGTAGTCGTTAATGTGGTATAGGTCAATGGGAAATCTCTTGATAGCTTGCGCGATGCACTGGTTCCACGCTGAGTAGTAAATCGCACTGTCGAGATCATCCATTCGCGCAGGATATGGCTCCTTCATAGACTGCTGACGAAAGACAGGTGCATCAAGCAGAACATAGGTTATGTTTCTTAGATTGTGGTATTGGATCTTGACCTCATAGGAGTTCCCAAGAATGTTAACAAACATTGACTCGGCCGGTTTGTCGATCGGGTATTCGACCCCGCCAACACATGGAATGACCCAGATGAGGTCTTGATGGCCAAGCTGTTTGCTCATCAATTGAGCCATCACACCCAATCCGCCTATTTTGATTCGGATCCCCCAGTCATCAATGTCATATTCCATGGTCGCAACTAACACCTTTCGCCTGTTTGAGGTACGATTGCCGAAAGCAGAGGTGCTTTGAAGGAATTTTGACTTGGTTGCAAGGCGTACAAGGAGATTTCTGGAGTCACCGGGCTCGTATTTGAATATTTTCAGAACATTCAGCGATATGAGCGTTTTCTTTTCGCTGACCCCGACTTGATTGAGCTTGATCTTGTAGAATGTTTTCTTGAAAATGTAGGCGCAAGTGAAGGCCGTGATGACTGGCACGAGCCACAACAAAAAGAAGAGCGCCATTTGGACATATTGAGATCCTGCTGGTACGAGTTTGAATTTGAGTGTAGCATCGTCAAGCTGAATTCTCCAAGCTAAGTGAGGTTTTGGAGGATGGTCTGTTATGTTGATAGTTGTCGTACTCAAGGACGATGGTGGTAGACGATCTAATACAGAATCACCATTAGAGTCACCAAAAATGTAGCTCTGGTCAGGATGGCCATCAGGGTTGATTCCCCATATATTGAGTTGACCCTGAGCAGGCCATTCTGCCATAAAACGGAAATTCCAAAGACCGTCGCGGTCTTGCTTCACGGTATTTGCGAGACCTGCATCATAGCCGTACTCGTTGAAAGGACCGTTGAAGAAGAGATGAGGGAATCGTCTGGGAG